CAGCTGGCAATTTGCTGAAGTATACAACCCCCAAATTTTAACCCCTACAATTTTAATTCCGTAAATGATCGTCAAAGAAATTTATTATTATTAATTTTTATTTTTTACGTCCTTTTTTTGCCCCCCGCTCCGCCGCCACCGGGCCGATTTTCAAAACCTACACATTTTTTTCGTCTCTGGTATAATAGTAACTTTGCGTGGTAAATTCATCACAATCCAAGCGGTACTTTCCAAATTATAGATGGGCCAAGGATTAGCGGACAGACAGACCGACCCGCGGGAATGAGTGACATGGTTTTCCGGAATGTGCGTCTCATATAACATCCAAAAACATTTTTGAAATTTTTCTCGATTACAGTAACATCAACCTCTTTCTGGAAGTCTTGGTATACAAGTTCTGTCGGTTCTGCAGAAGCTGCCGGAGGTTGTTTTATAAATTTTCACATGCTATTTAGAAGTAAAATTTGACTATTTCATAAATTAGTTGCCTTAAAAGTTCATTTGACTGGGGCGTATTTATATGATCACAAATATTAAGAACTTGAAGAAAATGCGTATACCTACATTTTTCTCAAATTGGGTCTGGAAGTAATCCGATTTAGTTTGCTAAACTGCTAATGTCCAGATTTTCAATAATATTACTGAGATTACGAATTAATAGCGAATATGAAAAAAAATTAGTGGATATGTTTCGTTCGAATGTTCGTGGCCTGTCCATTATTTGTAACTAATTTTACTTGCTTATTGAATATAATGGCGTTTTTGGGAAGGAGATATCCTTGTTTTTTTTATTATGGGCTATTATATCTAGGTGGGATTGTCACATACTGTCGAGTTTCAGGTAGGGGCGTTGACGTTCTGTGGCAATAAACAGAATTTCAGAAACGATAATGTCCTTAATTATATGATAGTCGCTTTACCATACACATCTGCTTACTCTGTTCTATAGACTATACATATAGCATTTATTGGAATGTATTGGGCTGCTTGCTGAGTTCACATTAATGGTAGTTTCACAGCTATTCTTGTTACTTCCTTACTGTAACTTCCATGAAACATTTGAGAGGAGTCGGGTTTTATCGAATTTTAATCACTGCGAGAAAGCTATTGAAACATACTTTGTGGTGTATGAAAAAGCAATTGAGATACGGAAATTCGTAAATTTTGAATATTTAATAGTTATGTTCGTGTTTTGATGAAAGCAGTGAGCGTTTTGAGTTACCTAGTAGACATCATTTTAAAGGTAAATAGACACACGAATGGTCTTATTATGTGGTAAATACAAATATTTTCAATGAAATAAATTTATAATACTGATGTACAGTAATGGACAAAAGTATATAGACAAATTAATATTGTGCTGTATTTCTTTTTTAACTTGTTTTATTAATACACCAATCTGTATACATAATTCGTTATAGCATAATACTCACTTATACAGAAATAAATTCCTTAGACTCCCTTCAATAAAAAATTAATTGAAAAAAAAACTGGAAGTATGAAGGACAAAAGATTATAGACAAAGCAAAACAATTATAGGAAAAAGAAGCAAAGTTCATTGAATTATAGAAAACCAACCATGTTTGTGTTAATATTTTGTAGCATAACCATTATTATCAATCACCGCCTGGCATCGTCTCGGCATAGATTGTAGAAGTTTCTTGATATAAGATTCATCAATCTGTCTCCACTTTTACTCCAAAGCGGTAAAAAGTTCATCCTCGTTTGAATAATTTTTATCTCGTATTTGCTTATCTAAGTATTCAATTGGGTTTATATCGGGAGACTGTGAAGGCCATTTGAGAACTGGTATTTTTTCACCCAGAAAGAATTTCTTTGCTAGATTTGAAGTGTGCTTCGGGTCATTATCTTGCTGGAAGATTGATCTTAAGAGCATATTGTCTTACATATAAGGTAACATGACATGCTTTAGTATGTCTGTGTATACAAACTTATTCATAATGCCATCTATTCTATGTAAAGGTCCCATCCCAAACCCCGAAAAGCACACCTAGACCATAACAGACCCGTCTCCATATTTGACAGTGAGCAAAGTGTACTTGGGGTTCAATCTTTGTACACTAGGACGTCTAACGCAATGAACACCATTTGATTCAAACATATTGAACTTTGATGATTCGTCACTGAAACATACCCTCATCCAGTCACAGATGCTCCAATCAAGATGCTACCGTGCAAATTGTAATCGGTACTTACGATTTTTCCTCGACATTAGCGGCTTCTTACTCGGGCGACGTGCAAATAACTTCAAATCATTTCATCTTCTACCTATAGTTTTCGTAGAAATGCTGATAATTCTTTTTGTCTTAATTTCGGCTTTTATTTGTCCTGGGGTTTTTAACGGATCTTTTGACGAAATTACTTTTATTAATCTAACTGATCTAGCATATATTTGTTCAATATTGCCCAAACTGCTTTACGCTTCAGCTTCAAATTTTTGGCAATGTCGACTTGACGTTGACCATCTTTGTATAACTCGATGATCTTAGTTTTCACATAGAAAGAGATTTCTGGACCACACGGCACGGTCTTAAAATCACTCAACTTATTTCACAATACTTGATGAACACAAGCTAACCCTCTTCTGACACGAAACTGTACCAAACTAGTGTTGAAAAGAAATTGTCTACATATTTTTGTCCCTCATAAAAAAGTGCTTGTATTCAGACTAGAATTGTGTTCATTGCAGATAATGTAAAAACAAGGAATTTAGTTTTTCTACTAATACCGCATTTGTTTATGAAGCAATGAAGTATGAATTCGTTTTCTAAAGGTATTTAGGTAAATATTCATATTTGTCTCTATATACTTTTGTCCATTACTGTATATAGTGAAAATCAGTTGAAACTTCGAAATCCACAGTCCCACTTACCTGACCTCAAATGCACTAGCGGCACAGCTGCAACGGGTGGGAGCGCTTTACGGTACAGCTAAACATTTAAACCTCACTAGTGTCAGAAATCAACCTGATATTAAAATTTTGATAAGATCCGACTCCAGCCAAACATTTTATCAGAATGAGAAGGATCTCAGATATTATCATGAACTCAGTGATGCCCGCGTTATAGTACAGAAGATTTACCCCTACCACTGAAGAAGAGGATCGAGTTTCCCTGGATCAGCGCTTTGCCTCATCCAGTATTATTTTATTGTATTCAGAGTTAGTCAGTCTGTTGTTAGCGCTCATACTACATACATCAATAAAATTGTATTTTTGATAATCGAGAATAAATCTTTTTAAAAAGCAAGTAGACTGACTCGGTCAGATAATTGGCGCAGCCAGATCGGATTTTCGGGCTGTTTCGCGAATCAATCGAGACCGCGAAAGCAGTTTTCGTATCGACGAATTTACCGGAAAAACGGCCTACGGACTAAAGACTTTGGTGAGTGGGAGTTCGAGCGGAACCGGTCTATCGAAGACACCGTGTGCAGCTACCACCTACGAAGTCAGGGATTTGGACCACACATCGCCCAAATCTGCAAGCGGAACATTTTGGAGAAGGACCAGATCGCCCAACCAAGATCGTCCCCTTATAGTTAAGCAACCAAGTAAAGACAAAGAAAGAAACGTGATGCACTTGATCATCCTCGTATTAGCGTAAGTGCAACTATACATTTTAAATGTCTTTGGAAGATATTGCAGAGGCTATAGATAATTTGACACTTTCAACAGACTCACCTATTTTAAGACCACCTAGATTAAATATTGAAAATATTCCAAGCATGTCTCAATTCAGACCAGAATTTTTAAATTGCGTCCCAGAGTTTGACGGAAATCCTAATGACTTAAATAGGTTTCTATCAGTGAGTGAAACATTAATTGCAAATTTTTATGATATACGGAACCCACATAATTTCCAAAATATCTATTTGCTAAATTCACTGATCTCGAAATTAAAAGGAAATGCTAAAGTGCTTGTGAATATCCAAAATATCACAAGTTGGGCAGATTTAAAAGACATTCTGACTAGGAATTTTTCTGATCAAAGAGATGAAACTTGTCTAAATCGTGATTTGGTTATGTTGAGGCAAATGCCAAATGAAACGCCTCAAAAATTTTATGATAAGTGTCTTCATATTTTGAATCTGCTATGCAGCCATGTAAACGTACATGAACATTCTGAAGAAGCAAAAGTGTTAAAAAGAAATTTATATCAAGAATTAGCTCTGAAAACATTTTTGTGCGGACTACGAGAGCCCTTGGGTACAACAATTAGATGTATGAAACCCACATCTCTCAGCCAAGCTTTACAATTCGTTATATCTGAAGACAATGTCAGCTATTTCCAAAATTATAACAAAAATTTTGGAAAATCACAAAATGTGCCCCAGAATCAAACTTCCAGGCCAATGCAAAGGCCAATGATAAGTCAAAATAGACCTTCATACTTTCAGCCTACTAATTATTCATTCAGTCAGCCGAACACTTCAACATTTCAACCTAGGTTCAATTCGACTTTTCCGACTGGACCTGTAAATTTGCCAAGACCAGTTTATCGTCCTCAGAGATTTCCGACGAATTCTCAAGTTTTTAGACAAACACAGAATAACAGAAACGTTTTCAAATCTAACCCTAACCGTACTTTACCACAAACTACTCCAATGAGTACTTCTACTAGAATTTCTTTCAAACCTGAACATAATTCGACAGCCCAGCAACAACCAAAACCAAATTGGATCGCTGAAGAGCTATTCAATACAGAGACAGAAAGCAATAACACCTATGAAGTTCCCGGTAACGATTCTTTTGTTTGCGATCAAACTGTAGCTGAACCACAAAATTCAGATACATATTTCACTGATCAGTATTGCGAGTATTATACACAAGATATTCCTGAAACCGATCACGTAGAACCACCTCAAAATTTTCAGAAGGACTCGTTCATAGAAGACAAGACCTAGCACCAGAAGTAATTTCACTTAACGCCAGCAATGCTAGCGAACTATCCTACATTCTTTTTCCCGAATATGGAATTAAAATGTTGATCGATTCTGGATCAACTAAGTCATTTATTGATCCCAGTATTGCTCGTAAATTTTTTCCAAATTTAATCAGAGATGATCCATTCGTTGTATCAACTGTTTTTCAAAAATCCGCTCACAAATATAGTGCATCCATCCCGGCATCGAAAATTTTCAATCTTCCTAATCGTATAGATTTGAAGTTTTACCTATTTAAATTTCACAATATTTTCGATGGATTGATTGGATTAGATAATCTAAAATTATTGAGAGCCGATATTAATTTAAGCAAAGGAACCTTACATACGCCCTACGCCAAAATTAGACTAAAATTTCACCAGCTTTCTAACGACTTGAATTTGATAACCGTCGCACCTCGAACCGAACAAGTAATAAAAATCAAAACATCGATCGCCAATGGTGAAATCGTTATTCCTCATCAAAAATTTCATAATTGCGAGATACCTGAATGCCTTACGATAGCAAAAAATAATTTTGCGTTGACAACGATTTTGAATAACACTACTAAGCCTGTTACATTAAATTTTTCTCAGCCGATTTCAGTAGAATCATTTAATTTATCAGAAATGCCAGAAATTGATCTCAATTATTTAGACACGTCACAAAAATTTGACCTAGATTTGTCGAAAATCAGAATTGATCACCTAAATTCTGAAGAGAAATCAGGGATACTTCAACTTTGCAGAGAGTTTTCAGACATTTTTTACCAGGACGGAACTCCACTAACATTTACTAATAAAGTCAAACATCAAATAAAAACCAAAAACGAAAGGCCCATTTACACAAAATCGTATCGCTATCCATTTGTTCACAGAGGCGAAGTAAATAGCCAAATACAAAAAATGTTGGATTCCAATATAATACGTCCAAGTAGCTCAGGTTATAATTCACCTATCTGGGTCATTCCAAAGAAGCTAGACGCTTCGGGGAAGCAAAAATGGAGAGTTGTAATTGACTACCGAAGTTTAAATGAACAGACTATTGACGATAAATATCCATTACCCAATATCAACGACTTGCTAGACAAACTTGGCAGATGCCAGTATTTTACTACCCTTGACTTAGCGAGTGGTTTCCATCAAATCGAGATGGAGGAAACAGACATAGAAAAAACCGCCTTTAGTACCGAAAATGGGCATTGGGAGTTTCTCCGGATGCCTTTTGGCCTAAAAAACGCGCCCGCCACATTCCAACGCGTCATGGATAATATTTTAAGAGGGGTACAAAACGAGAAATGTCTCGTATACCTCGACGACATTATAATTTTTTCTACATCCCTTCAAGAACATATTGAAAATTTAAGGTCAGTTTTCCAACGACTCAGAACTTCAAAATTTAAAATACAGCTCGATAAATCAGAATTCCTTCGTAAAGAAGTAGCTTATCTCGGACATGTAGTCACACCAGACGGCGTTAAGCCAAATCCACATAAAATTATTGCCATCCAAAAATTTCCGATTCCAAAAACGACTAAGCAGATTAAAAGCTTTCTCGGACTTATTGGTTACTATAGACGTTTTATTAAAGATTTTGCGAAACTCACAAAGCCTCTAACTAAATGTCTAAAAAAGGGAGCCAAAATTGAACACGATGCAGAATTTATTGACTGTTTCGAAAAATGTAAAAATGTTCTTATCAATGAACCGATACTCAAGTATCCAGACTTTTCTAAGCCATTTAACTTAACCACGGATGCGAGCAACGTAGCCCTTGGTTGTGTACTTTCACAAGGCCCTATAGGACAGGATCTTCCTATCGCCTATGCTTCGCGCACGCTTAATGATTCCGAACGAAATTATAGTACGATTGAGAAAGAATTACTAGCAATAGTCTGGGCGACTAAATACTTTAGACCCTATCTTTACGGGAGAAAATTCAATCTAATTACTGATCATATGCCCTTAAAATACTTATGGTCCCTTCGAGACCCTTCTTCAAAATTACTAAGATGGAAAATCAGGTTAGACGAGTATGATATGAATATCATCTATAAGAAAGGCAAACTGAATACAAATGCAGATGCCCTATCTCGTGTAGAGATCCATACAAAAGAAACCAGTTCATTTTGGAACGACTTAGATGATTTGATTCAAGAATGCGCAGGTACTCAACACCAAAACGTTAAGTTTGACCGACCAGTTCAGAAAGGCTCATCTGAATTAAGTACACCTACATTTAACTTTTCTACCCCAAAACAACCTGATACCGAATCTATGTTCGTAAACGTCGATAATGACGAAGACAGTCTTTTTATTCAACCCCTGGACGAAATTGTAGATATCATTGAACATGAACAAGTCAATCTAGAATATCAAAATAATCGTCCTGAAAATCCAGACGAAACTGTACATTCAAATGCGGACCAACACCCCATTCAGACAATTCCTATAGTTGATTACGCAGTTAATCAGGGAAATAATCAGATTATCATAAGTACAGTAAAACATTCACCTGCACCACCAAAAATTTCTATTTTATTTGAAAGCAAGCAACGAATTAACGTACAATTTTCAGAAAATGATTTTGACGATGATGTATTTAAATTTATTCGAGATTATATTGCTCCTAACGTCATTTATCACTTATACTTTGAAAATCCAGATATATATGAAAAATTTTCTGTTGTTCTACAAAGGATGTTTAAGTCAGATGCTTTGAAATTCAAAATGTGTAGAACCAAATTAGTCGACGTTACAGATAAAACTGATATCAAGGACATTATCCGGAATTACCACGAAAGCAAGTCGAATCATCGTGGAATTGAGGAAACGCATCAGAGAATAAAAGAAAAATATTTTTGGCCTAACTTGAAAAAATCAATCCAAACATTTATAAATGAATGTGAAATTTGTCAACAATGTAAATATGAGCGTCATCCGATAAAAATTGCGATGAATCTCACCCCCACTGCATCAAAACCTTTTGAAATCGTACATATCGATACTTTCACTTTTGAAGGTTCAAAATTTCTCACAATTATAGACAGTTTTTCTAAATATGCTCAAGCATATCAGATTACTTCGCTTTCAGGAACTGAAATTGCTGATAATCTGATATTATTCTTTTCTCATCATGGAATTCCTACCCGAATTATCGCAGATAATGGTACTGAATTCAAAAATACCGTTGTAACTGAACTTTTGTCACTTCACAAAATTAAGCTTCATTTTATTTCGCCAAATCATCCAGATTCTAATGGAGTCGTTGAACGATTTCATTCAACTATCACCGAACATTTAAGATTGTTGAACACAGAAGGCTTTCAGAAAACCCCTATAAAAATGAAAATGTTGTATGCCGTTTTAGCCTACAACCACACCTTACATTCTGTAACAAAATTAAAGCCTATAGATATAATCAATGGACATATTACGTCGAATGAACCATTCGATATCAAAATCGACCAATTACTCCTCAATGACTATACCAACAGCCACAAAGAGCGTACAAAATTATTGTATTCAAAAATAAATTCTGATCTCATTCAAAACAAAGAAAAGACGCTAGAACGCATTAACAGAGATTGCGATAGTCCGACTATACTTGATAACCGAGAAACAGTATACGTCAAAAAGCATGTTAGAAAAAAGCACGCCAACAAATTCTCAAAGCCGTGTAGACTACAAAGTGTTAATACGGAGAAAAAGATCGTCGCGACGGACCAGCACGGAAAAGTGCATATAAGTAATTTGAAACGTCCGCTACGCAAACTTTATTCGTTTGACTAAGCCTCGAGCAATTAGATAAGAAACTATGTATGTAATCTACGTTTACTTTACTCTTAATTGCACGCTAAAAATAAGATTTTCTTTCGAATATATTATTTTACAGGTTCCCAGGAATCATAGGAATCCATGGTACGATAACGTTGAAGAATTTAGAAAATAACCTAGGGTTGATACCCATGAAATTAGGGACCGCCAAAATTACAAAAAATTGTCACTCAATACTGTATTTTTACGACGTCAATTTAATAATCACTGAAGTTAATGACCTTAAGAAAAAAACTGAAAATGTTGCGACATTATCCAGGAAATATATTGAGCACTATAAACACTCAGCAAATTACCTCAATGTTTTGTATTTCTTAGAAAGAAAAGTAGACGGAAAGCTAAATGACATTTTTCCCTCTACTTACGAAACTGTTCCATCATTTTCTGTTAGAATAAAAAGGGGATTAATAAACGGCTTAGGTTCAATTTTCAAAGCAATCACAGGAAACCTGGATGCTTCAGATGGTGAAAAATTCGATTCTCTAATAAGCGATTTGCAGAATGATCAAAACAAGTTATCAGAAGCTATCAATAGTCAGAATACCTTATCTGTCGAACTTATCGATAATTTCAATAAAACTGTAAGTCAGATTACTCATAACCAAAAGCTATTGGAAGCTAAAATAAATCAGCTTTCAACAGCTATGATTAACACACAAGCCTACATAGAAAATGGCATTTTCTTGAGAGATACAATCTCAGAGATCATGAATATCTATCATATCATAATTTCAGTGCTCCAGGATATAGAAAACTCACTTACTTTTGCAAAATTGGGAATTATGCACCCCAGTGTAATCAAACCAAAACATTTACTTCAAGCACTAAATTCAGTGGCATTAAAACTATCCACAAAGCAACTCCCTTTAGAAGTTACTTTGGATAATATCCCGATTTTTGAAAAGCTCATTAAAATCAGCTGTTATACAGTTGATAGAAAAATAACATACATTCTTCAAATTCCAATTGTTCATACATTCCAATTTGATTATTATCACTTATATTCAATTCCAACCTTTCATAAGGGTCTGTTCAAAGTAGTCATCCCTTCTGGAAAATATCTTGTAAAGAATGAGTTGTACGTTTGCAAAGAACTAGATTTAAGAAGAATCAAAGAATCCAATCCCTGTGAAGTTCAACTCCTGGTACAAAAAACTCCCACTACCTGCCAAGAAGTAGAAGCCGTAATCACAGAACCAGTAATGAAGAAACTGCATGATTTCGGACAATGGATCTTGCTTATACCCAATGAAACCACCATTACATTAAGCTGTCAAGAAGGCCAAGAAACAGTCAAAGTTTTGGGATCCTACTTAGCCGAAATTCCAGTCGGTTGTATACTGGAACTAAATCAAGACCTGATCGCCAATCAAGAGCCTATATCGATTGGAAGTCAGCCTATTATTTTTCCAAACATAGATAGCAATACTTCAATTGCTACCAAGCCGAGTGACTTCAGCCTTCATCTAGACCAAATAGAATTTGATGAAGTTCACAAAGTAAAAAGAAGATTAATAGAAAATCGTGTTGACATCCATTCACATAAGGTGTCGCACATTCCCAGTTCTTGGACAATCCTGTTGTATGGAGTACTGCTGCTGCTACTTTGCTGTTTTGTCTACAAGAAGATCATTCCGAAGATTTTTACTAAGCCGAAGAAACCACAAAGAACCCCTATTGAAGAAGTTGATCTTTCCAATGTGCAACTTCCTCGTTAACCCTCGAAGTTGCATCTACAAGGGGAGGCGTTATAGTACAGAAGATTTACCCCTACCACTGAAGAAGAGGATCGAGTTTCCCTGGATCAGCGCTTTGCCTCATCCAGTATTATTTTATTGTATTCAGAGTTAGTCAGTCTGTTGTTAGCGCTCATACTACATACATCAATAAAATTGTATTTTTGATAATCGAGAATAAATCTTTTTAAAAAGCAAGTAGACTGACTCGGTCAGATAATTCCCGTCATAATTTTCCATATTCTGAATTCAATTGAGAAATCCTGGTCGTAAAACTATGCAGATAAACAATCTTATTATTTTTCACAGATAGAAATTATCTATTTATTACCCCACATCGCCATGAATTTGTTATACTTAGGGTCTAAGACAGGGGCAAGCAACTAGGTGTCTCAGGGGTCCAGGCCCCCAACGCCAGGGGTCTCAAAGGCAAGGCTGTTCATTTTTTAAGTACTGCGAGAGAAAAGCTCTGCGGTAGCACCCCTGACCCCTGTAAGGCTCCTCGTATCGCTCTGCCTCGTAAGCGTGGCCTTCTCAAGCGTATTTCCCTGTTCAGAGTCTATTTTTATTAAGTTACTCATTAAAAATTATATAAATGCGTCACTTGCCATTATTATAACTCCCTGTAGGCTTCCTCTGAATGGTCACTTGGATCACAGTTTGAGTTTGAATCACATACGAGTATCCTAGTTTTCTATGCAATTTCGTAACTTCGAGTCTAACACTTGAATTGCGGACACCACTCACGTCTCCCTGAAATATTTAAACCGGGTTTATCAATATATATTCCGGGGAAATTCAATAGGAATCAATGTCCGACGCGCAAAGCCCGAAATCACTCCCGTAAATTAAAATACGTAATGGTAATAAAACAAATGCCTTGCACAAGCTGGCTAGACGTATCGCGCAAAAAGGATTCCTAGAAGTCGGCTGATCCTTATGGCCACAGGCGGAGGGAGACTTGGAGAAGCTGAAGGTTCAAAAATTGAGTTTCGCAATTTAATTTCGTGTTGTTTGTTAAATTTGCAACATTAGAATGTGATGTTGAACTATTTGTTATTGGAGTTTCAAACTCGCGAAAATTTGCGTTACTAATTTTTTCTTTGTTGGTCAGGCTTGCGGGCTCGACCCGGGTTTCATCGAATTTTTTTGTGAGGCCTTAAATGTTTTTCCTGATAAATGATATTTGATAATTTGACTAAAAAATGCTACCACAAAATATCTACAATGTTATTAGAACCAAATTTGTTGTTCTGTGATTGACATAGCCGCATCAAGTGTATAGAGGTCCAACAAAATGTGTACAGAGGTACGACAATCGCACTTTTTTGGCATTAAGTGGTTTAAATGTTTAGCTATACCGTAAATGTCCGAAAAAATTAATTATTCTTGCATATGTTTCTACGCATAGCGTGTTTTTTATACAAGAGTCTCCTCCCCTTTGAGTAGCGCGCCGCTCGTCCATTTGGGGTTATGTGGGGCTGTGCAGTTCGGAGTTTTATCTGATCTTCAGTATATACATCAAATATATATGTTTCATCAAAAGCATAAATATGCACTTACCACATAAAAGGGCCACTGGAGAGTATGTATTCTACATTTTACGTTTGCAACGATGTCTATTCCTTATTTCACGAGTATGCATCACGCTTTGACGTCTACTGAGGTCAACAGCTGATCAGCAAATGACATTTTTGTGTTAATCTGCAACGTTGGCGTTAATGGATCGGATACAAATCTAGTAAGACTTGTTTGTGTCGTTTTGTTGTTTGTATGCAAATGAACTTTTCTAAATAAAAGAGCTGTTAGCAAGTACAAAATGAATATGTAGCCTACAAAAAACCAAACAAAATTTGGCTCCGTCTACCTGGTGTTGACGGATCCGACAGAATTATGTATCCTGTGCCGACATATAGATAAACAGCTGTCGTTCAACCGTGATGGATACTCGTGAAATAAGGTATACTAAGCAGCTCAAAATGCTGACTGCTTTCATCAAAACATGAACATAACAGAACTATTAAAAATCAAAATCCAAGAATATCTTAGTCATCCGTAGCTCAATCGCTTTTTCATACATCACAAAGTATGTTTCAGAAACTTTTTTAATTTACCAGGCAATAATAAAAACTCGATAAAACATGGGTCCTCCCGGCTTGCGGACTGCTGTGTAAGTTTTCACCGTGTCCGTAACTTTGTTAACCTTGACAGATATAATTCATAAAATAATGTTTGAGGTTTGCATCAACAACTAGATTTTTGAAAAAAAAATATTTTAGATTCCCAGTGGAACCCCTGGTGGAGCTAGTACTGGCAGCAATACCAGATACAACGAGATGGCGAGGCCTGACAGCTAGCCCAGTTTTGGCCTTTTTGTCGATCCCGCACGGGTATTACGTATCTTGAAGAGTGACATATCGTAGGTTTTTTTACATCTCGTAGGTTTTTTGTGACAATGTTAACTGTTGTGCACTTATGGTGATCTCGTTTTCTAGCTGTATGTGTTGATAGGACGTTTATTCGTTTTTTTACATTTTTAAGGTTTCTTATTTAATACCCCTGCTGGTCAGCAAGTCAGCAACCCAACTGATAGAACTTGATGTCAAACATGCCAGACCTTATAACACAATGTCTTATGGGTGTGCTTCATTCCGTTTTTAACAAACGTGATGATCTATCTATTCGAAGGTCTTGATACACGACCCACTCGCCTAAGAAGATAAGATATTTCACAATTTCTATGAGAAATAAACGCCCGTTTAATATATAGTGGCCTGTGAGAGTCTCAGCCAGGAGGCTGAGCGACTCTATACTATTATTCAATACTCATAGCGCTTGACGCTTGTCACAGTCTGACATGAACACAACCAGTCCACCTCAGCCATCCTTCCACCAGTACGTGGTGAGATGTTATCTCTTCTTCTAAAAGTCTGACTCATACTAGACTCCACTTAAATGCAATGATAAGCAAGAGACACATTAACTTGATCAAAAAAGATTCCTAGTTTCATAATTAGGTAGGGGAGCGCAAATGAATCTCAGTGCTCGAATTCTTCATAACCTGCAATAATTACAACGAATTAATTATTAAAATTCGGAAATTAGGTTAGAATGATAACTTCCGCGAGATATTGAGCTTTACGACTGCTAATTTGATGAGAATTTTTTTTAAGTAAGTAATGGTTGACTAATAAAGACATGTTTATTCAAATTTCCACAAAGGAAAGCCCGTAACGGTAAATTGGGGGGTATATATTGTCCTCAAATACCCTTATCATCGCCGCTGGCCACCCCCTTGAAGTGTGTGTTGTAGTTTCATATAGTTGAAACCTACTGTTTGAATAGATTTCCACAGGTGTCATTAAAAAGATGACATGATAATTCGTTTTTGAGCAACACTGGTGGAAACTAGTCTTCCAGCACAAAGAAGGTTAAATATTGTCCTTCGTTGTCAAACATTTGAGATAAGATGGCTTGTTCTTGGTACCTTCAATTCAAACAGCAGCGATATGCCTAATGAGGTGAAACATAAATCATGGACTCCACAACCCTTCTCTCTACTGAATCCTAAGAAAACTGAAAAACTGACGCGTTATAAGTAATATAAACCATAGCGTGCATTCATTTTGCAACACCTTGTGTAATATATTATTTATTATACTGATACACTGCAAATCAAATACCCTGACGTCGTAATGTGTACGAAAGAGAAGCGCGTATATTCGAAAGAGTGCGCCTATGGCTTCCGTGACCTCGTACTCGAGTTGCTAGGCAACGAGCTATTTCTATCTCTTTCTAACATACATATCGCGGGCTTATCGGACTTATTTCTCGAGCACATTACGACGTCAGCCAAATTTGAATCTCACCGTATACTATTTCATGAATGCATTACCGTCATAATATCCAGAAGCTGCTCCTTAACATTTCTGAGTTTGAAATATGTGGTCCAACTACTTGACGTCCCTCATTTCACAATATCAAAGCAACAAAATTCCAGCCCAATGACATAAAACAGTTTACTCTAAAAATGTGCGAGTCATCAACGTAATTTCTAATATCAAAGAGCATAACGCCACTACATGGTATTCACATCCGATGGCAAACCTTAAGTTTTCACTTGATAGACAAACCACAAGCATTTCGTATAGTACAGTAGATTCAGCTAAACGGTTACGAAGGTTACATTCAGTGGATTATAGAGAAAATTCGAAAGAATCGTTTAGACACTGTAGTTTAATGATTAAAAAACTGCTTCCAGAAATGAATAAGTAATGCCAGAAACTTTATATAAAGTGGACCTAGTTATAAAATCTGCAATTAACATATGAATAAATTACAATTTACATTCTTAACTTCAACCTCGACTCCAACACTGGTGTTGCCGAACCTATCGATTTTTCGATATTTCTACCGAAATTGAACATCATTTATCGATATACCAAAAATGTCCTCATTTTCCATAGTATTTTAAAACTCTCAAATTTTTACGGAAAAAGCCGAAACCATAAAGTAAGCTCATAGGAGAGACAAAAAATTCACCAGCTGCAAAATGTTCGTCTAGCACATTTCATGGTCTCGCCGGTTTGTAAAAAAAGCCTGCTGTGTTTACATTTTTGTTATCGTAAATTCTCCACACCGATTCATTTAATTTAACTGAGTGGTGCGTCAAACTAGATAGTAAATAACAGTACCTTAGTGTTAAAATGCAGCGTTATTCGTATGCAGAACATGCGGATATGCATTTAATTTACGGAGAAGCTGGTGGTAACGGAAGACGAGCCTCGCGAATCTACGCCCAACAGTTTCCAGAACGTCCTCATCCGCATCTCGCCATTTTTGCAAGGATTCATGGACGTCTTTGTGTCAGTGGCAGCATCAGACACCTCGCGGGAGCATGGCGGCCCTTCACGAGGCGCACAGTAGAATTTGAGGAAGCGATTCTGCATCATGTAGAGGCCAATCCGCGTACAAGCGTGCGTGCTATTGCACATGATATGGGAGCGTCTCAAACTACTGTTTGGCGGGTTCTCCATGACCAGCAACTACACCCATACCACCTTTTAAAAGTCCAAGCCATGGTTCCAGAAGACTATCTGCCGCGTCGACGTTTTTGTCGTTGGTGGCTGCAGCAGGAGTTGAGGCAACCAAACTTTGGCCGCTACGTATTGTTCACTCACGAGTCCTGTTTTAAAAGGACGGTTATTTTAATAGCCGTAACAGTCACATTTGGGATGAAGAAAACCCTCATGCCATAGCCATCCATAGAGACCAACATCAGTTTTCAATTAACATCTGGTGCGGCATTGTGGACGAGCATATCATCGGGCCATATTTGCTTCCACCACGTTTGTATGGGCATGCTTGTGGTCGATTCTTACAGCATGTGCTACCGGAACTATTAGAAAATGTACCACTGAACATAAGAGCCAACACGTGGTTTCAACACGATGGCGCTCCAGCCCACTTTTCTTTACAAGTGCGGCAGTATTTGGACGACAAATTTCCAAATAGGTGGATATGCCGAGGTGGCCCTGTGCCTTGGCCTGCGCGGTCACCCGACCTGACCCCACTGGATTATTTTCTCTGGGGCCATCTGAAAGCTTTAGTGTAGGAAACTCCTGTTCCCAACCAACAAGAGATACTGGGAAGAGTGATGGCCGCGTCCGCACATGTTCAGAACATACCGGGGGTATGCCACAGAGTTCGCCGATCATTGAACATTCGTGCACAGCTGTGTATTGAGCAAGGTGGAGGACACTTTGAGCAATTACTGTAGGTAAGCTGTTTCAAGAAACTGATCTTTTTTTTTGCTGCAGCCCAAACGGCATATTTCCGAACAGGGGTTTGTAAGGCAAAATTGTGCATTTTGATGCCCTCTACAACCCCTATCATTTTGTCGCAATAATTATGGAACACCCTGTATATATCCTGGACAGCACTGTATGACCAAAGGCCCTTGATGCACCACTGACCTTATACCGTCCTTGACTTTTCTTCCTACCCATATTTTTCATGAATCTACCAAATTTCTACACCGATTTCGTGTGTTTCGATTCGGCAGCACTGCTCCAACATCTTAACCATTAGCATTTCCTACCGTTTCATGAATAACTAGATGCATTTTAATAAAAAGTAGATTGACTCTGACTTGAAATAAATTGACAATTTCTATGTATGGTTGTATATAAGTCCTCTAGATGCCATGCGTGCCCTAGGAGCAGATTTATCCATTATTATATTTGAGAAGCAACTTGGTTAGTATTTCTGATGGTATTGCTATGACTACTGGTTACTGCAAATGTGGGTTGGCGCGATGAATTTCTAAGCAGTTATGACCAAGTTTTGGTTACGCTAGGATTGATTGTTGTAATTGTTTTCAGTCCGACATAGAGATTTAAAATTTCCGTAAAAATTGGGTGCCGGAAAAAACCTGTTTTTTTTCGGAAAAATTGAGGAAAAAGAGGAAAAATACGGAAAAATTGAAATTTGTTATATACAAGAAAAAAGTATTCTGGTTACTGATTTTTCCATTAATATAAATCAAACAGAAATAATTTGAATCAAAACCGGAAGCTACGGCTCTGAAGGATTAGTTCTCGGTAAATACCCGTCGATTTTCGGTGAATCCCCGACCACTACAGCTTTCGGTTAATTCCCGATCACGCACAGCGGCACGGCATTTCGGTAAATCCCCGTATTCCTGAATTGTTCAGTTGAGAATGAGATTCTTCAATATTGACACGTCTTGTTTATTTTAAAGCACACATTTTAATTTAGCCTTATCATAAGCGCAGTAAATGAATGATACAAAGTGAAATTTTGCTATAATAATTGAGTGTGTTTGTTCTGAAGATTGTTAGTGTTGTTGACCCAAGTGTTTGTTTTGGTTTCTGGTAAGTGAATATTTTATTAAATTTGGAATAGCTTCAAGTGTCGAAGGTGGGATTTCAGTTTCCTTGCATATTTTCCTTACTTTTCTTTATTTCTAATATCAAGATTCAGTAATACCTAATAATTATTATCTGTATACTCATTAAATTACAAGAATTTGATCAGTTGATAAAGTGCAGCAAGATATTTTATTTATGTATTTTTTTCTTGTTGTAGGACAATATGGTTCGACCTTCTTCAGATATTTGGCAATTATTTGATATTGAAAAAAAAGATAAAAAATCCAAGGCTGTGTGTAAGTTTTGCTGTTTTAAATAGGCCTTTCCAAAAGCAACTCGCATGACGAATCATATATTAAACCAATGTTCAAAATGTCCTTTGGAAATTAAACAAAAATATGGCAATGAAATACAATCGAGTTCGAAGTCTTCGACGTCAGAAGAAAAAGAAAGTAACAAAGATATCCTGCTAGAAGCATTAGAAGATACCAATCTCCCTTCAACTAGCAAAAATGACACGTCATCAATGTCACCATCTTCCGAATCTCCACCATCAGTAAAACGCAAGAAAGCTAGCTGCCAACAAACATTGAGCGGGTTTTTCGATAAGATAGCTGTTTCAGAGTCTTCTAAAATTAATGAGGCTCTTTATGCGTCTAGTGCTGGCTTTTTCTCTTTTCAAAAATAAATATTGGGAACAGGTTTTTTAATTCCGAGTATGAACGTGTACAGATAAACCGAAGTCTAAAGCTTTCTGAATCCGATAGTTTATCAATAGTAACAGATAGTTGGACAAATATAGTCGGAGATGGATTAATCAATATTGTTATATGCACGCATATACCTTTATTTTACAAAACTGTTCATCGTGGCAGTGCAAAAGAAACGGGAATGTATATAAGTAATAAACTTATCAAAGTTATTCAAGAAATAGGGCTACAATTTTTTTTTTAATAGTGTCTGACAATGCGAGCAATATGAAAGCTGCTTGGCATATTATAAATACAACATATCCTCATATATCCTGGGTTGGTTGTGCAGCTCACACTCTGAATTTGCTACTAAAGGACTTTATGAAAGAAAATTTGTTTCAAAAAATAAGTAGAGTCTAAAAAAATGTGTAAATATTTTAAACAGCACCACATACTTTATGCTGCATTTAAAGAAGCACAGGCCGAAAAATACCCAAAAAAATTAAGTAATTTCCCTCAAATTACCTGCAAAAACAAGATGGGGTTCTCTGTTTATAACCGTTGATTCGCTTTCAAGAAATAAGGAAGCTCTGCAATGTACTGTATTAGTGGAAAACCTGAATGTAAAACAAAATATTAAAAAAGTTGTATTGGATGATGCGTTCTGGCAAAACCTACAATATGCTAAACAAATCCTGCATCCTGTATCAAAATCGATCAATTTAGTAGAATAGGATAGATCTATATTATCAGAAGTGCCTTTTGTCTTTAAGTATATAAAAGACACAATATTAGATATTCCCCAACAACTTGACCTGACTAGTTCTCTTCGAAAGCTTACTAAAATATGTTGAAGAACGCTACGAATTTTGTTCTAAGCTGATTCACTTTGCAGCCAATCTTCTTGATGCTCGCTTTAAAGGAGAACAACTGAATGAAGACCAACTAATGGAAGCAATACACTTCATTTCTGAAATGGCTCGTTCACTAAATCTAGATGTAGGGAAGGTGGTGGCAAATCTAGCCCAATTTAGAACAAAAACTGGATTTTTTTGTCGAAATTCTTTATGGTATAGTGCGAATAGTAGTCATCCCGTTACATGGTGGCGAAGCTTGTGTACATCGCAGCCACTTATGCCAATTGCCTCCCGAATTTTAAATGGACCGCCATCTTCCGCCTCTTCAGAAAGAAACTGGTCTTTACACGGCCTCATACATACAAGCAAAAGAAATAGATTATCACAAGATAAAATTCAGAAGCTGGTTGCTATTCATTCCAATTTGGTTATAAACGAAAAACAGGCATTCATTTACGATGCCAGACCAGTTCCACTTTTAGAAGACACTAGCAAAGATTATGCTGTTTTGTCCGTCCATGCAGACGAAGCGGCGATCGAGTCTGAATCAGATGCTTGGTCTGAAGAGTCAAACTCAGACTCAGATGAAAATATACCTCTGAGCGCTTTGGTTAAATAATGTGTTTTCTACCTTTGAAGCTTTGTTTTTGATACTTTCAATTATTAGATAATAATTATAATTTGGCCCTATATACATGTATGTATTTATATCTTAGATATTAATAGATATTATTAAAGTATGTTTTTTGTATTTATTTTTACAAAATATGTTTAAAAAACATTAAAATTGGTACCTATTTTTTACGTTTCAAGTCACAATTAAAAAATGTTTGAATTTTCCCATTTTTTTCCAATTTTTCCCATGGTCTGGAAAAAAACGGAAAAAACGTGTTTTTTCCTAATTTTTCCCCTTTTTTTTCGGATATGTTAAATCTCGAGTCCGACTTCATATTTCTTCATTCAAGTCGGAGACTGACAAAAAAAGGAAGCATCATAATCAACAAATAAATAAACGTTATAACTATGGTAGTTAAGTCAAATAACACTCTACCCAACATCTTAGCCTCGGTCGAAGATACCGCATCCGTAAAATCTAGACTGAAAACATAATAAGCACGTTGATTCAACGTAAAACAGAGGGTCCTATTCCATAAAAATAGTAGACTAGTTAATAGCAGTTAGTTACAAATGAATGCACTGTGAAACATAAACTTCCAACGTGCAAATATTTTGTAACTTGTAAAATATGGAGTAGGTCATGTATATCATGTTTGAAACTTACATGGCACACAATATGTCGTATTACGAGTAGGACAAGTTAAAAGTTACCTCAGTTGTAATTATTATACCATACCTTTTATGGAACAGGGCCCTGATGGTACAGTGTCTTTGTGTATGTAATGAAATCTGACAACCAACTAGAAATTGATGTAAAGTAGTGCTGCACCAACAGACCGCTTTACGTTAAGCCGAACGAGCTCAATGTGTTTATACCACTCAATCGTTTAACCAATTGGACTGCACTATAATACCAGAGTGTTATTCCATTCCGATGTACGACAAAATAATACGACGGAATGCCTTTGGGTTGGCTTGTATGTGTTTATACCACTCAATCGTTTAACCAATTGGACTGCACTATAATACCAGAGTGTCATTCCATTCCGATGTACGACAAAACAATACGACGGAATGCCTTTGGGTTGGCTTGTATTTGTTATGCTTCTAATTATGTGAGCAATGTTACAGGCGCCTAAGCTTTACAATCTAATGGCTTATTTAAAATACCTCGCATAAGTCGCATAGTCTTGCTTCGCACCTTGCTTTGGTAATTTGCAGTTAGCGAAATGTCAAATATGCGTAATGAACGAATTAAATAATTAATGTATGAATGATTACACATATATTGTCGGGCAGGTATGGATTAAGGGATAGATCATAGCTCCGTAACAGGGTTATAGAACAAATGACACGACTCGGTTCCCAAGGTATCCTCGCGAGGGTAGATTTGATTGCTTTCTAAGTTAAATATTTATTATCTTATTTATTCATATATCTTAATTTTAGCAGTTTTATTTAACACAGACTTTAAAATTTCAAAGGTTATCAACTTGGTTTCATCAAAATTTTACAAAATAATGCTTCAAATTGAACTCGGGATGTTTTAGACGCTCAAAATTTCAGGGTCGTTTTTATTCATTTCCTTGAATTTTCCTAAGTGCAACGCGCTGTAAGTTTTTAATAATGGTTAAAATTAATGTTATGCACCCAGTAATTTTTTAATGATATAACTGCTTTATGGGGAAATGGCATTCACTATGCAAATGCAATGATTTTGGCTCTCTAGACCAATTCGAGATTATGATGAAAATGTAGAGAAACTCCGGACTTAGCATTTTCCCCATAGTTACGATAACGTTCTTCATCACAAGCACACTTGGTACAATTAATTCCCAAATGCACTGAAAGGTCAAATTTGGTGGAATTGCTTATTAAATGCACTTTAATGAGAACTCATGTAGAAAAATATCAGTTGGTAGAAATAAGTAACACCATTAAAGAATTTAGCGAAAGAAGTGAGAAGTAAATTTTGCGTTTTATTTATATGATCAGTTGCTCTTTCTTCTATGAAATAATGATAAATTAATCGTATAACTTACAGGGCGTTGCACTAAGTAAAATAAAAGAGAATAAAAAAATTAATCTGGCTCTGGAAAAAACTAAAAAAGGGCAATCAATCTATTATGCTAATTGATTAGCGTCATTAATTTAATTAATTGGATTATTTTGGTACACAGTCAAAGATATCATTATTCTACTGCTGATTTTGATGAAATATACAAAAGTTGAGAAGACCTGGTCTAGCCCAAAATTTTTTAACCTTCCGTTTAGTTCTATATTGCTACTAAAAAAAATTTGCAAAATTTTATCGAAGTCCTCTCGATAGTGCCTAAGATATGTGATAAGGATTTGGCGTGCTTAGAGAAAAACTAAATATAGTACTTTTTTATTTTCATATATGGAAAGGTCTCGGGTCCATACTACCTACCATTCAACTATGTCCATTTAAGTCCGGGGTATAATATAACATTTAGCTCATATTGTTGCTGTCGTCCCCCTTTTGGTGCGGTTTAAAATGCTTTTGGGGCAAAAGTTTATCTAAGTGGTCTTCTGGAATAAATACGGGCGCCCATGTACCTATTACGTGGAAGCTTCCCTTTTACTCATATCAAGCAAGGATTTAGCTTATATATTATAAGTCTAGGGAACAGGTTATTTATGAAAAAAAATTATCCATCCTTTCTTCTTGTGGAATTGAATTTACTAAAAGAATGGTGAATGCGCATTCAAATTGTGCTCACGTTGCTTAACACAGATATCAAACTTTTCAGAGGAAAGAAACACTTCATAAGTGCTCACGACTATTCAGCAGATATTACGTGACATTACAGCAGACGTCACGTATACTAAACTGAATTTCAAATCTCCATTTCTTCTCCGTCAGAACAAACACCAGTCCGGGTGCCAAGTGACCATAAAAACCTAGGCAGGCTGCGACATACAAAAAGAACCCGCGAACGAGTGCTCATACTTTTTTGACGAGGAATAGATACATTTTGAAGAGGGTGATGGTCCTGAATATAATTGTCTTCTGCCATATATCCTATAGTCTTATGAGACGTTGCGATAATGAAATATATTCCAACACTACCGGTTAGTATATCGCCAGCAGAGGCGTCATTCTGTCTATATTCTCAGGAGACTCAAGACATGCAGAAGATGGTCTCTGACCCCCTCTGACTCAAAGACTGTCCATTCCTGACTCATAAGCTGAATCCGCTCTAGTCCTTGTTAACCTCCCACCCTAGTGTTGATGGTTTGTTTTTGTTCATCTTTGTGGATATTATTTGTATAGCCGTTTTGTACGCGATCCACAAAGCTGGCTCAGGTCCAACTAGAGAAGCCCTACTTTTTGCGAGACTCTCGGCTGACTCCATTCAGACATGTGTGTCCTGATATCCATATGAAATGGAATTTATTTCCATCCCCTATGCTACAAAGCCTCCTTTATAATTTTATACAAATTTCGTCGTAGGGTGGGCGGAGTACGAAGATAGCAGCTACA